TAATATTATTTTAGATCTTTTCTGGTTATCAAAAACTCCTGGAACATTTACATTTCAATAAACAACCGATGCATGCCAGGTGTCTAGTACACACTGACCTTCAAATTCCCACATTCAAAGGTCATTTTTATCTAGAAAGTTTGAAGAAAGAAGAATTTTATCTTTGTTTCTCTTAATTTGGCCACTGAAATCCGGGCATGTGTCCCCACCAGGAATTGAACCTGCAACCTTTGGGTTCACAGGATGATGCCCATCCACCTGAGCCACACTAGCCAGGGCAAGGACTATATTTTTAGTCATTTTTCTTCGACTGGAAAATTCAGGACACCATTAGCCTCCACTGCCATTAGCCTCCATTGGCAGTGATATTTCAATTAATATCTTTGACAGAGAGCGTTTGTGGTGCATGACTCATTTCCAGAGCTTGGGTTGTCTCAGGGTATAGCGCTTAGGATTATGTTTGATGATTGCCTTGATGATCATTATTAACAAAGCATCTGAGGTCAACCCATCAGTATAAAGAATTTCTTTCTGTAAATGCTTTGGACAGTAATTACATTGAGGAAAAGATGAGATCAGCTGTAATTAAGTTTATTGAGTTTTGCCTTCTTTGAATTCCCTATTGTTGGTATCTGATGCTTTACTGCCATCTAGGTGTTCAGAGGTAGAAGGAAATGTGCATCTGACCTCATGACAGGGATCTTTGTGTTTGTGAGGATGAAAGAGAAGCAAAACTGTAACTTGATGAAAAGTTTATTGTCAATTATTTGCAGTACAATTTTCTGGATCCTATATCCAGGAGGTCATGACAATAAATTCAAAAGTAGTAGTACAGAGTTCCAGAGGTGGCACAAAAGAAGCAATTCTTCTGAATCTTCAATACCATAACATTCTTTGCTCAGTACATGGAATATGTTACAATGCTATTAGAGAAAATTTGGCTCCTGAACCATGTCTCTTAGCTATCTGCATAGGTTTGTCAATAATTAATTGAAATAAAACTGGAAAATCTAAAATTGGAATTTCAGAAAAAAATTTTTAAATGCCCATTTTATCCCAAAGCACGCAAATCACTTTTGTCATATAGTATTAAATATAGTCCCAAATGCCATTTAGTTCTTCCATTCACTGTTTTTCAGCCAAAGAGCTCAATAGTTAAGGAGCCTTACAAAAAAAACCACCTTGCACCGAACAAAAGAGTAGCACAGTTAAATTATGTATACCTCCACTACCAAAAGAAGGGATCACGTTAAATATCTTAATTGCATGTGTATGGAATTTCTCCTTTGAGTTAGTTCTTATTTTAAGTTAGTTTTCTATTATCTTCAAATGATTATTCAAAGTAATAGTACTTTTGCTCTTGGATATATTGATAGAGTGGGGTGTTGCTATCTAAATGAGAAGGACCTATGTCTGTTCTTCCCCTTGTATGGTAACCCCTGGTTTCAGAGTCTCTTGCTTGCTTATCATCCATATGCTGACTGTGTCTTCTGATGCTCCCTAACATCCTTGATCCTGACTCTTGCTTTTGCTTACCCCCACTCCATCCAGTTGTACTGCTTGATGAATACCTATATCTATACTCCTCAGTTCCTGTATGATCTTGGTTCTGAAGAGAGTGACTGGAAATGGATCTTTCACTTCTGCTTCTGCTGTCACTTGCCTGTCCATAGCTATCACTTGAATGGCCATGGCTATATACTTGCCTTTCATTGGTATTGAATCCAGATTGATCCTGGACATCTCTGGATTGTCCATGACTTGATCCCTGTCTTGCTAAACTTATGCTGGATTCTACCTGATCTTGAGAAGATGTATCTCCAAAATGCTGTTGACTGGGTCCATGTACATCAATTGTATTGAAGTCTGACTGTCTGTGCCTAGATCCTGATTGTTTATTAATCTGTTTCCCCCAATCTTCTGAACGCACTTTACTATTATTATGGGATCCCTGCCTAAAAGTTGAACTAGATTCTGAATGGCTGTGAACTGACACTTGCTTGTTTTCAGTTCTGTTCATTGGCCTAACAGGGCTAGAATTGTGACTGCTTGTTCGACTACCCCCTGAAGGTCCATACCCAGATTGCCCATAGTCATATCCTCCACATCCATAGCTACCGTGTCTCCATCTTTGACTTGATCGACGATTTTGTCTTCCTGCTGCCTGCCCATGTTTGTAGGTGTCTCCTGACTGTTTGTGAGCCTGGCCATGACTGGACCCTGAGTGTCCCTGTGAGCCTCCAGAATGCCATTTACTGCCACTGGTCTCACTGTGACTAGATCTCCTTCTTCCACTTCTGCCAGATCCTGACTGTGAGGAATGCCCATAACCTGCCTGCCCATGTTTGTAGGTGTCTCCTGACTGTCTGTGAGCCTGGCCATGACTGGACCCTGAGTGTCCCTGTGAGCCTCCAGAATGCCATTTACTGCCACTGGTCTCACTGTGACTAGATCTCCTTCTTCCACTTCTGCCAGATCCTGACTGTGAGGAATGCCCATAACCTGCCTGCCCATGTTTGTAGGTGTCTCCTGACTGTCTGTGAGCCTGGCCATGACTGGACCCTGAGTGTCCCTGTGAGCCTCCAGAATGCCATTTACTGCCACTGGTCTCACTGTGACTAGATCTCCTTCTTCCACTTCTGCCAGATCCTGACTGTGAGGAATGCCCATAACCTGCCTGCCCATGTTTGTAGGTGTCTCCTGACTGTCTGTGAGCCTGGCCATGACTGGACCCTGAGTGTCCCTGTGAGCCTCCAGAATGCCATTTACTGCCACTGGTCTCACTGTGACTAGATCTCCTTCTTCCACTTCTGCCAGATCCTGACTGTGAGGAATGCCCATAACCTGCCTGCCCATGTTTGTAGGTGTCTCCTGACTGTCTGTGAGCCTGGCCATGACTGGACCCTGAGTGTCCCTGTGAGCCTCCAGAATGCCATTTACTGCCACTGGTCTCACTGTGACTAGATCTCCTTCTTCCACTTCTGCCAGATCCTGACTGTGAGGAATGCCCATAACCTGCCTGCCCATGTTTGTAGGTGTCTCCTGACTGTCTGTGAGCCTGGCCATGACTGGACCCTGAGTGTCCCTGTGAGCCTCCAGAATGCCATTTACTGCCACTGGTCTCACTGTGACTAGATCTCCTTCTTCCACTTCTGCCAGATCCTGACTGTGAGGAATGCCCATAACCTGCCTGCCCATGTTTGTAGGTGTCTCCTGACTGTCTGTGAGCCTGGCCATGACTGGACCCTGAGTGTCCCTGTGAGCCTCCAGAATGCCATTTACTGCCACTGGTCTCACTGTGACTAGATCTCCTTCTTCCACTTCTGCCAGATCCTGACTGTGAGGAATGCCCATAACCTGCCTGCCCATGTTTGTAGGTGTCTCCTGACTGTCTGTGAGCCTGGCCATGACTGGACCCTGAGTGTCCCTGTGAGCCTCCAGAATGCCATTTACTGCCACTGGTCTCACTGTGACTAGATCTCCTTCTTCCACTTCTGCCAGATCCTGACTGTGAGGAATGCCCATAACCTGCCTGCCCATGTTTGTAGGTGTCTCCTGACTGTCTGTGAGCCTGGCCATGACTGGACCCTGAGTGTCCCTGTGAGCCTCCAGAATGCCATTTACTGCCACTGGTCTCACTGTGACTAGATCTCCTTCTTCCACTTCTGCCAGATCCTGACTGTGAGGAATGCCCATAACCTGCCTGCCCATGTTTGTAGGTGTCTCCTGACTGTCTGTGAGCCTGGCCATGACTGGACCCTGAGTGTCCCTGTGAGCCTCCAGAATGCCATTTACTGCCACTGGTCTCACTGTGACTAGATCTCCTTCTTCCACTTCTGCCAGATCCTGACTGTGAGGAATGCCCATAACCTGCCTGCCCATGTTTGTAGGTGTCTCCTGACTGTCTGTGAGCCTGGCCATGACTGGACCCTGAGTGTCCCTGTGAGCCTCCAGAATGCCATTTACTGCCACTGGACTCACTTTGACTAGATCTCCTTCCACTTTTGCCAGATCCTGACTGTGAAGAATGCCCATGACCTGCCTGCCCATGTTTGTAGGTGTCTCCTGACTGTCCATAAGCCTGGCCATGACTGGACCCTGAGTGTCCCTGTGAGCCTCCAGAATGCCATTTACTGCCACTGGACTCACTGTGACTAGATCTCCTTCTTCCACTATGATATTCTGAGCTGGATTGGCCTGTTTTAGACCCATGCTGGTCAAAGCCAGAAGATTGACCTGAACCAGATCTACGTTTTCCAGAGCTAGAGGAGTGTCCTGAACCTGATTGTTGATGGTCAAAGCCAGAAGACTGAGTTGAACCTGACCCATATTGGCCATAGCCAGAAGACTGACCTGAACCAGATCCCTTTTGTCCTAAGCCTGAGGACTGACCTGAGCTAGATCCGTGTTGACCATGGCCAGACAACTGACCTGAGCCAGACCCATGTTTTCCAAAACCAGATGACTGTCCTGAGCTAGACCCATGTTTTTTGAAGCCAGATGACTGACCTGAGCTAGACCCGTGTTGTTTGAAGCCTGAGGACTGGCCTGATCCAGACTTGTGTTGTCCAAAGCCTGAGGCCTGACCTGATGAGCTAGACTGTTTTCCAGAGCCTGAGGACTGACCTGAGCTAGACCTGTGTTTTCTAGAGCCTGAGGACTGACCTGAGCCAGACCCATGATGTCCAAAACCAGATGACTGTCCTGAGCTAGACCCATGTTGTTTGAAGCCTGAGGACTGGCCTGAGCCAGATCCTTGTTGGCCATGGCCAGACGACTGACCTGAACTGGACCCATGTTGTCCAAAGCCTGAGGATTGACCTGAGCCAGATCCATGTTGGCCATAACCAGAGGACTGACCTGAGCCAGATCCATGTTGGCCATAACCAGAGGACTGACCTGAGCCAGATCCATGTTTTCCAAAACCAGATGACTGTCCTGAGCTAGACCCATGTTTTTTGAAGCCAGATGACTGACCTGAGCTAGACCCGTGTTGTTTGAAGCCTGAGGACTGGCCTGATCCAGACTTGTGTTGTCCAAAGCCTGAGGACTGGCCTGAGCCAGATCCTTGTTGGCCATGGCCAGACGACTGACCTGAACAGCCAGATCCTTGGCTATAACCAGAGGATTGACCTGAGCCAGATCCATGTTTTCCAAAACCAGATGACTGTCCTGAGCTAGACCCATGTTGTTTTTAGCCTGAGGACTGGCCTGAGCCAGATCCTTGTTGGCCATGGCCAGACGACTGACCTGAACTGGACCCATGTTGTCCAAAGCCTGAGGATTGACCTGAGCCAGATCCATGTTGGCCATAACCAGAGGACTGACCTGAGCCAGATCCATGTTGGCCATAACCAGAAGTCTGACCTGAACTGGACCCATGTTGTCCAAAACCTGAGGACTGACCTGAGCCAGACCCGTGTTGACCACAATTAGAAGACTGACTTGCTCCAGACCCATATTGTCTACCACAAGAGGACTGTCTTGATCTTCTTCCCCGTTGACCACAATTAGAAGACTGACTTGCTCCAGATCCATATTGGCTACCACAAGAGGACTGTCTTGATCTTCTTCCCCGTTGACCACAATTAGAAGACTGACTTGCTCCAGACCCATATTGGCTACCACAAGAGGACTGTCTTGATCTTCTTCCCCGTTGACCACAATTAGAAGACTGACTTGCTCCAGACCCATATTGGCTACAGCAAGAGGACTGCCTTGATCTTCTTCCCTGTTGACCACAATTAGAAGACTGACTTGCTCCAGACCCATATTGTCTACCACAAGAGGACTGTCTTGATCTTCTTCCCTGTTGTCTTCCACAGGTCTGTGGTTGACAACAGTTCTGTGGTTGACAACAGTTCTGTGGTTGACAACATGCCGGGGATCCATGTCTTCTTCTATGACAAGAAGGTGGGCTACAGGAGCGAGGCTTACATTGGCCATATCCAGAGGACTGACCTCTTGAGATGCATCTCTGACCTTGTCCTCCACTATTTCGTGATCGACAACCTGACTGAATACAGCTAGATTTATTTCCTTGCCCTCCATATCTGCCTGCCTGACAGGAGCTGGAAACATTTTGTCTTCCTCCACACCCACTTGAGTTGATGGAATCACATGCATAGCTTTGTCTCCCACTATCTCCTGAACCTTTAGAGCTAGAAGCAATAGCCTCTAATCCATGTGACAGACCACCATGACCTTTCCTTTCCCTGCTCTTAAATCCAGATTCAGATTCATATTCCTCCCCAGATTCCCTAGAGGGGCTAACTGAGTGGCCAGAGCTAGACCCATGGCGCCTTTTCTCAAATCCCTCTTGTTTCTCTGAGCTAGACAAACTACCTTCCCTTCCAAGACTTCTGGAGTGGGACCTATGTCTATGTTTCACAGTTCCCCTCAAGCCCTCAGAACCATGCTCCTCTCCCTCACTCCAACTTGAATTTCTAGCACCTGATTTCTGTTCTGATGTATTCTCATCTTCTTCTTCTGTTTCACTTTCTTTCTTTTGGTGCTGGTGACCATGACTACGCTTCTGCTTCTTTGACCCTGAAGTTTTGCAGTATTCTTTGCTAAGAACGTTGTTGCAGGCCATAGCCAGCTTGAATACCATCAGAAGAAACTCAGTAAAGTCCAGTCTTCGGTCATGATCTCGATCCAGCATATGCATAATGACCTCCACCGTGTCTGGATTATCTGGGTTCTGTATATGAGCAACACACCAAAGGAATCTTGATCAGCCTAACCCACATACTCAGCTAAAATATTCAGATAGGACTATGAAATTGTAGATATTTGACATGAAGTATTTTAATCCAATCAAGGATTGCTTTAGGCTAAGGCAGACTAATACGACCCAGCAGGTGTGAAGAAGTAATAAAAAAAATAAAGCTGCCGAAACCGGTTTGGCTCAGTGGATAGAGCGTCGGCTTGCAGACTGAAAGGTCCCAGGTTCGATTCCGGTCAAGGGCATGTACCTGGGTTGCGGGCACATCCCCAGTAGGAGATGTGCAGGAGGCAGCTGATCGATGTTTCTCTCTCATTGATGTTTCTAACTCTCTATCTCTCTCCCTTCCTCTCTGTAGAAAATCAATAAAATATATTAAAAAAAATAAAGCTATTGGAATCCTCAGGAGAATACAATTCAAGGACCTAAGTTAGAGAACTAGGTACTCAAATATGGCATACAGGAAAGAGTTGGATAAACAAAGTTCAGTACTGGTGTGTTTTAGTTTTGCATACATTTAAAACATCATATGCTAATATATTCTATGTTGGGATCTATAATTTCGAAGTCAATAGCTGCATCCTTTTCAAGTAGATGGAAAAAAAACTCATGTATTTTGTTTTCTGTTTTTAGTTATCCTGGCTACTTGGTCAACTGCCCCTGTATATGACTTCTCTTTCTATAGTTTTTATTCCCCATTTGATAGGGTAACTTATTAATTCATGTCTTAGTACAGATTTCATTTTCTGCTCTTTCAGAATGGGAAGCTTGGGAGGCATGAAGAAGTCTGAGAGTCCACATGGTGGAAATATACAAGAAAATGAGGAAACAACAAGTCACTTTTCTAAAAATACACACTGCCTCAACAGACTTTCTGATGTCCCAAAAAAGTACTGCTTATAGAGTTTTCTCAAAGACTACTGGGACTAATATTAGCTAATATTTGGTTATATAACAGAGAATGTACAAGACCGTAGAAACCTTTAGTCCTAGCACATGGTCCTCACCTTCAGAATTGGCCGAAACTCTTTTTCTAGAAGTTCCTTTAGCTCATCCTTGCTCAGTGTGCCACATTCCCCATCTTTGTTGGTGTATTTGTAGAAAATATCAATGACGGTGACAACACTTCTTAAGAGGTCGGTCATCTTTTTGCACGTTTAAGTGAACCTAAAGAGAAAAACAAAAGAGTCTATCATTAATTTTCTTTCCTTTTAATTTATAGGCAGTTCTGATTTTAATAATCGTCATCATGAGTTTTCAAATCTCTTGTCTCTTTAAAACCTAAAATACCTCAAAAAATAAAGATGGGTCAGGATGATACAAAACCTTTCAACACAGTGAAAAATAACTTTGTTAACATTAGTCATGGACATGTTACTGGCTGAACTGGGACTAAATCTCAGGTCTCCATGTCCTGGATGAATATATTCTTTTCTTAATGTCTCTACACTTTGTGTACTTTGGTGTCCTGGGTGTTGTCCGTGGGTTTCCAAATTTTCTAGAACCACATAGACATTTCCCCCCAGTTTCTCTTGCTAGTTTCACTGATTTTCTAGAGGCAAAAGCAACAGACCTTCTACCAAAAGCTAAACTGGACCCTTAAGACCTTCAGAAAATAAAAATAAAAATGGGCAAAGTGAGCCAATGCTTTCTTGGTTTTCCAGAGGCCTGAGATAGCCCTCCTGAGAGCTTAGGAACTATCTTGACCTAATTCATTCATCAGGGAGAAAGGCTCAGAAATGCAGGCAGCAATTTGACTAATAGATAATTTGATCTGGGAGCTCTGGGAACTGACACTGAACAAGGAAGGGACTCTACAACAGTGGCAGCCTCCCCCCATTTGAACTTGGCAGTCCGGAAAAGATGGCACGCGAAAAGAGTAGGAAGAAAGCGTGGCATGGCCGGTAAGAAGACAAACTTCCATTGAATTACTCTTCTCCACAATGACAAATTTATTCTAAAAAGGTCCCAGAATAAATTAAACTAGCCAAACAAATAAGCAAATAGAAAGAAAAGAAAAAAATAATATAAATGACAGTGATTAGAAAAAAAAGATACATCGGTAGAGAAAGAAAAAAGAAAAAGAAAAAGAAAGAAAGAAAGAAAGGCCAAATATATATTAACTCTGCCTTAGCTCAAATTCTTGGATTTCTGCTGTGGACAATGACCAACCAAATATCCATCGATATAGATGGATAAATTTTCTCTCACCTGGTTCACCAAAGGAACGAGTAGGAAAAAAGCCTGATGAAGCTTGCAGGGTGACAATGATTGGGATAGTGGCCCTTATATAGCTAACCATGTGGGTGCTGCCCTCTGTGGGATGGACTGATTAATTTCCAATCAAACCTAACTCCACCTCTGTCCATGTTTACCTTCCTGCTTCTTTGCATTCTCATCTATGAGATGATTGCAGAAAGGCTGGTACTGAAGCCCCTTCCAACATGAGGACATGCTGCAGGGCACTTTTTTTCAGGCTATACACTTGTGAAAGCAGATACTGTGTTTTAGAGGACTCGTGTAGTTCATCCCCTTCATCTAGTACCACGAAAGGTAGCAAACTGTATGGTACTTGGCAGGTATGCAATAAATGCTTATTTAATTAAAATGAACGTAGGTGCCCTGGCCAGGTGACTCAGTTGGTTGGAGAGTCATCCGGTGCACCAAAAAGGTTTCAGGCTTGATTCCCAGTCAGGGCACATACCTAGGTTTCCGGTTTGATCCCCTGTTGGGGCATGTACAGGAGGCAACCAATCAATGTTTCTCTTTTATATCAATGTTTCTCTCTCTCTCTCTCCCTCCCCCCACTCACCCTTCCCCTTCTCTCTATAAAAATCAATAAAAGCATACCCTTGGGTGAGGATTAAGAAAAAGAAAGAAAATGAATGTAGGCCATTAGGCTCACCTAACATGTCTTTGCAATAATAATTTCCATTTATTGAGAATTTGCTATGTGCAAGATATTATGCTGAATACTTTTCACATATCATCTCATTTAATCTTCACCACATTTCTATGAGATATGTATATTTTTCCCATTTTACAAATGAAGAAATAGGTTCAGAGAGTATACGAGTCATCTCTAAGTTCATACAATGAATAGGTGGAGGAACCAGGGTTTGAACCTATATCTACCTTATGACAATGCCCTTGCTCTTAACCTTTATACCAGCTTATCTCTGTGTTTTGATTATATTTGCCTATTATGCAAAAATTATGCTTTGTTTTAGGAGTGTCAGATCCATGCAAACACACACACAAAAATGAAAAAATAGTAAAAAGAATGCTGTCAACCAGGAAGAGAAGAAACATGTTCTCTGGCCCTTTGAAGGCTCTTTTCTAGACTATAAAAGTATAAGTTAATGGGCTAAACACAGAAGTAATGTTTTCAGACATGTTCAGAGTAAATTTAGAGTGAACTTTCTTCTGGCTTTCTTTTATCCATTGGTCGTCTGGCAGCTTTGGACCTGAACACTTGGGAAAATGCCACTTATATACATAAAGTATATCAAATATAATACCTGCGGGAAGCAAACATAGTCAGAAGGCTGTAGTAGGCAGGAAGAATCAGCTTTTCTGTACCTTGCCACCAGGTGTGATGATGATGATGATGATGATGATGAAGATGATGACTGATGAAGATAGCAGTTATCATTACTTAAATATCTACTATCTTCTAGACTAGAAGGTTTTACATGCTTATCTATTTATCCCTCGCAATAACTCTGTAAAGTCAGTATTTTCATTCTCATTTTACAAACAAAG